CATCACAGTATGGTGAGGGGCGTAACATTTCCGTCACACGCTTGAGGTATTCGGCCAATCCCAATGCACTGGATAGCTGGCCAATCACAGCACACCTCGCTTTTTCAGACCGATGAGCTTTGTAAAAATCCATGCGTTTCAGAAAGGCGGGACATAGAGGAGAAACAATAATGTACAGTATGTGGAAAATAATGTGTTTTTTGAACCTTAAACTGCATAAACACATTTCATTACACCAAATACACAAAATAATGTTATTTTTAGCAGCATCATATGACCCCTTTAAAAACTCAACTCAATAGAATACTAGAGAAGTACACTGTAAAAATGAATGAATGAATGAATGAATGAACAAGTATTAGGAAAAATACAGACCAGCTGTAGAATAAAAATGTTATTATTTTCCATTTATTTTATTGTATATTTAAAATATTTGTCATTGTGACGTATGTTTATAAATAAATAAATAAATAAATAAATAAGTATTAGGAAAAATACAGACCAGCTGTAGAATAAATATTGTATTATTTTCCATTTATTTTATTATATATTTTAAATATTTGTCATTGTGACGTATGTTTATAAATAAATAAATAAATAAATAAGTAAATAAGTATTAGGAAAAATACAGACCATGTGTAGAATAAATATTTTATTATTTTCTATTTATTTTATTATATATTTTAAATATTTGTCATTGCGACGTATGTGTTTTTAACCACGTGTATTCTGTCCAAGGATATTATGTCATTATTGTATTCTGATTACACAATGACTCGAAAGGGTTTACTGGGCTTATTTTAATCTATAATGATTATGAAAAATTCAAGTAAAAAAATTCAGCTACAATGTCTCTGTAGTTCCTGTAAGAGTGATCTCTCAATAGATTTAGAGCACTTTAGCCTGCTGAAAGCATAAATGGCTGTTGTCTGTCCTGCCAGGTAAAGCATTATTGATTAGTGTGTCCCATGAGACCGTGTGTTGTGTCTGGTTAATAAATGATCCTCTGTTTGGCTCCACATATTAGTGAGGGGCTCAAAAGCACTTTGGATGCAGCGATGTCTTCAGTACAATGAAATCTATTGAAAAGTATATTAGAGCGGCTAACATTATCATGTGCAAAAATAAGTTTCCTCATATTGAAAAAGCTATGCAAACAGCCGTCATTATCGCGAACGATTTCTTTGATTTCATAATCGCACAATAAAATCGTCTGCGATTTTTTTGCGTAACTTGTCAGTGAATCCTAACAAAATGCGCATGACAATCGCATTCGATTAATTGTGCAGCCCTAGTTGAGGGCTTGACAAATGTTTTCTTTCCTGTACTGACACATCCTAAAAAAACAGGACATTAAATAATGAATTAAAAACTTCCTGGAGAGGAAGAGGAAAAAAATCTGAACCATGGTTTAATGACTCAATTCGTTCGCTCCGACAAATATGCAGGAGATATGAACGAAAATGGCTTAAGGATAAACTGCAGATTTCCTATGATCTTTTAAGGTACTCTCTCTCTCATTTTCAGAAAGCTGTGAAGTCAGCAAAATCTAAGTATCTGTCTGAAATTATTAATAACAACTCCCATTGCCCAAGAACTATTTTTTCCACAATCGATTATGTCCTTAACCCAGCAGATGTTTTTATTGATGTGTCTGAAACACTGTGTGAACACTTTTTGACATTTTTTGTGGAGAAGGTAGATAGGTTGAGACCTCAAGTTTCGCAATCTGTCTCTGATATCATCGAGAGACCATGGAGCTCTGCAACATGGTCTAATTTTCAACCTGTTACTATTTCTGCCTGTAAAGATGCCATCGAGCATTTGAGACCCACTAGGTGTCCTTATGATGTTATGTCAGCTCGCTTTTTAAAGCAGGTTGTACACATTGTTGGTTCTGATGTGTTAAATTTTCGTTAATCTGAGTCTGAGTACTGGAATAGTTCCTGATGGTCTGAAATGTGCCTTAATAACGCCAATTTAAAAAAAGCCAAATTCAGACACATCGATTTTTTCTAACTTCAGACCTGTTTCCAATTTACCTTTTATCTCCAAAATTTTGGAGAAAGTTGTTCTAGTTCAGCTACAAGTCTTTTTGAGATCTAACCAAATATATGAAACGTTTCAATCTGGTTTCAGGAAATTACATAGTACAGAAACAGCTCTCTTAAAAGTTTATAATGATATTTTAATGTCAACAGATGCTGAAAATGCTGTAGCTTTGATCTTACTAGACCTAAGCTCAGCTTTTGATTTGGTTGATCACAATTTATTACTTTCTCATTTAAAAAACTGTATTGGTCTGAGAGGTACCGTTTTAAATTGGTTCCAGAGCTTCTTAACGAACCGAAAATTCTCTGTACGTACAGGACAATATACTTCTTCCAGTGCTCCTCTGACTTGTGGTGTCCCTCAGGGCTCCATTCTTGCCCCAACTTTATTCATGATCTATATGCTGCCGCTGGGTTCTATTTTCAAGAAATATGGTATTTCTTTTCACTTATATGCTGATGATACACAATTGTATCTTTCTTTTAAACCTGGGGATAAAAATGCATTAGCAAAGTTGTGTGTATGTATTGAGGAACTTAAATCATGGCTTATGAGTAACTTCTTGACACTTAATTAAGGTAAAACCGAGTTGATTCTGTTGGGACCTAGTGATGCCCTATCTTTTAATTCTTATAATCTCGATATTGGTTATTTTGCCCAGTGGATTACTCCTTGTGTAAGGAACCTGTGTGTCTTATTTGATTCCAGTCTAAAGTTTGATAAACAGATAAACAGTGTGGTTAGGTCATGCTTTTTTCATCTTCGATGTTTGGCTAAAGTGAAAACTCTCCTTTCAACACAGACATTTGAAAAAACAATTCATGCATTTGTAACATCTAGATTAGACTATTGCAACTCGCTGTACTATGGGATAAATCAGTCCTCCATGGAGCGACTGCAATTGGTTCAAAATGCAGCAGCCAGGCTATTGACTGGCACGCGCAAATTTCAGCACATTACTCCCACTGTGACCACATTACAGCGGCTACCTGTTAAACTTAGAGTGGAATACACAATTTTAACATTGGTTTTTAAAGCACTTCATAATCTCGCACCAACTTACCTCACTGAGTTGTTGCAAACACACAAATCAGTGAGACCACTCAGATCCAGATTTGTAGGAACTTTAGGGCCTTTCGCACCGCTTTAGTTCCAGAACTAAATGTACAGTACTAAAGTACTGGGACAATTTTGCGCGAACTATTTCCCAGTACCATTTAAAGGGTTGCATTCGCACCGAGAGTGTGTACTAAGAAGTGACGTAAGCCAGTCGACAGCGTCGTCATTTGTGCAGCAATGTCTACTTACGTCACGATTAGTACCAGTTGTGCTGGTTAGACCCTGCTCCGGAGTAGGAGCTAATTTGGTTCTCGAAAAAGGCAGTCCGGTACTAAAATCGCACCCAGTTCCGGCGGTGCGAAAACGCCAAAAAGTGGGCAGTTCCACAATTAGTTCTGGTACTATGAAAAGGTTCCCCCGGTGCGAAAGGCCCTTTTATCAATTCCTAGGTCCAGATTAAAACACCGTGGCGATCGAGCCTTTGTAATTGTTGGTCCTACACTCTGGAACAATCTTCCGGTTGCCATTCGAACAACTTCTTCTCTATCTATTTTTAAAGTTATGCTTAAATCTCATCTCCTTGATAGATTTGCGGCAAGTCAATGAAATGCTTTTGTATTTATCTACTGGGATCAGTATTATTTTTTATTATTAGTTTATAACTTAGTTTTGCTGTCTTGTTGTTTACTTTGCTATGTAAAGCCCTTTGGGTCAATAAGTTGTGTTTAAATGTGCTATATAAATAAAATAAGAAAGAAAGAAAGAAAGAAAGAACATACCAACCCTTGTGAAAAAGAAGTGTATATTCACTTGTAGTATACTTCATATCTCAAATATATTTACAAAAAAGTGTACTTACAATTAACATAATATTAAATGAAATGAAACAAAAGGCCACTTACTTCCAGAGATACTTTTATGACTATGCCCTTTAGTATTTTTTAACAAATACTGTATAAATGTTGAATTTAGTACATTTTAAATCTTTAGTACGTTTAATCGTATTAATGCTTTAAAGACACTTAATTTGATGTGCTCACATGTTACACATTTAAAGTACTTGTTATAATTCTAACTGTAGTGTGTTATTTTAGATTACATTTTAAAGTTAATACATTTCAAGTGTACTAAATTACTTCATAATTACAAATGTGTAATTACAAATATATTCTAAATTGACATATATGACAATTTTAATAGAAGTTCCATTAAAGTATATTTTAGTTTACACTGAAACAAATTGCTAGTAAATTACATTACTTTTAACACGAAATTTTGATGTAGAAAAACCATACTCCAATATTCTGTTTTGTTTATAACTTTGATTTTTTTTTTTTAAATACAGTGAATAAATATATACTAAACAATAAATATAAGTCCTACTGGGTCAAAAAGCACTCTGAAGTTCATGCATTTGCATTTAATATAATTTTTCCTTTTTATTTAACATGCAATGTTCCATGCAATTGCATGTCTGAAACTTTACATACACACACACACACAATAAGTGCTTTTTTTTTTAAAGTATGCACTTCTTTTTCACAAGTGAAAGTGTTAATCTCTTTTTGAACAAATCTCTGTGTCCTCCAGTTCATAAATTTTGTCAGGTTTTAGGACTATTATACTAGCATATAAATGTTCTCAAAGCTAACACACATTGTTTTTAGCATTACAAGATTTCTCCCCCAAAAGCATTATGAGATGTAAAATAAACATCTAAATATTTTACTGTATGCAATAGTTCAACGTACAAAACCATAGTAAAAATGCACAAACCTAGTGAAGCATTAAGACATTCTGGCACCCAGCACGGTCTACAAATACTATATCATTATCCAAAAGTGTTGACAGACGCTCATAACGTGATACCGGCTTGATGTAAGACATGTCTGATGCCACTACCTCTGAATTACACATTACATTAATGGCAGTTCCAAAGAAATCACAAATATAACTAGTGCTGGAAACAAAAACACCCAAGTTCTGCTCATGCGGGGCGTCCTGGGTGAGGCTGAAATGCCTTTTACTTCCCTGCTGAATGTAATGCATGTGGTTTCCATTAAAGTCAATGGGCAGAGATGAGGTGGCTTAGAGGAATTCCTCCCTTTAAACGCTAAAGCAAGCCACTGTGTGAACTGCGGCAGCCCAGATTAAATCACAAGTAACTTGGTAACACCTCTGAAAGTTGTTAGGCTGTGAGTCTGTTGTATAGTAAACTAACTCTTGTGTAATTCAGTGTGAGTTAATAAGTGTGTCTGTGTGTGTGTTAAAAAACGGTTCCTCTCAGTGTGCGGTTTATACACAGTGTGCAGACAGCATGTCGCGCAGAGAGACCAGATTAGACCGTGTGTCTCTGAGAGTTTAGCTCTGTGAGGTCACACGAAACGCTTCCCGTTACACTGACTACAAGGGTACGTTTACATGACAACGATGTGCTAAAAACGGAAAGGTTTTTCCTTTGCATTTTGAAAAGTTTTGCATGCAGATGGGATCCCCGTTCAGACGGATCTGTGAAAACGACTAAAAACGCTGTATTACGCATGCCAGGCCAGTAGTTTGGCGATATCACTTTGTAAATAAACATAATATGCACACGCATGATGTCACAGTTTTCACAAATTCACATTGTTATAGTTACAAAGAGATTATAACCATATATTTTATAAAAACTTGCACATTGAAACCCATTTTCAAAATGCGTTGCAGGCCCCCAAAACACTGTTGTCATGTAAATGAACAGCCAAAACGCATAAAATTTAGTTAAAAATGGTGTTGTGTAAACACCCCCTAAATGACAAAAAATCTAGTTTTTTTTTTTTTTACACAAAACATGCCTTAAAAGGCATTTCATACTTCAAAATAAATAAATAAATAAATACATTTCAATAAACAGCAGGTTCCCATTGTGACAACTAGCCCCAGGGTGTCCTTTAATACAAATATAAAGTGTGCATAAGCCTTATTCTGTTTTTTTTTGTGTGATTAATTCAATGGCAAATAGTCAGTTCAACACCTATTTTTCATTCATTCAGCCCAGGTTAGTTTAATATTATTTATAAATTATTGTAGTTTTTACTTAAATTGTGATGTAGGTTTTACTTGTATATTTTTAGTTTTCATTTAAATTTTTAGTAATTTTGTTATGTGCTTTTGTCATTTTTATTAGTTTTAATTCTTCTTAAATATTACTATTTTGGTTTAATTTATTTTTATTTAAGTTTTGATTGTTAATTTAACTTATTTTTTTAAGTTAATTTACTTAAAAAAAAATTTTGCTTAAGTTTTTAATTTAATATTCATACTTTATTTCAGCTTTATTTCAATTAACACAAATGTTTTAACTGTTTTAGTGTTAGGTAACAATGATAACCCTGATCCAGTCAAGAAAAACACATTTTGGGTCCTAATTAAGAGAGTGAACATAAACCAACTTGTAAAACACCATTTAGGTGTCAAACTAAAATAAATCAATAACATGGTCATTACTCTGTTTCTGTTCAATGAAGTTTCACAGCTGGACTCAGGAATGCTGGGGGGAGGCTAAACAGAGACCATCATGGGAATGATATTGCTATCTACACAATGCTCTGGTAAAAACTGTGTGGTCCAAGACACAGATAGTGTCACAACAAGACTCAGCTGTTGCTGAAAGTCTGTTCTTTTTGACCAGAAGTCAACTTTCTTCTGATCCTACTGTAATTTTCTTTGGCTTATGAAGATAAAACAAAGATAAATGCAAATGCAAATAATAATAATAAAAAAAAACACTCAAGAGCGACAAAAAAGGAGCAAAGAGAAAACAGGAAAGGGCAGCTGTTCTCTCCAGGACACTGAAATCCCACCTCCAGTCCAGAACAACACTTCAAACCCCTCAACTGCTGCATGGAAAGCAGAAACCCCTCTTTCTTCTCTGCTCTCTTCCCTGTCTTTTCCATTCTGGACTGGGAAAGAGGGATCAGAACTAATGCCCACGAATGCCCCATTCAACCTCTGTTCAGAAACGAGGGCCAAACACAACCATGAGATAATGTCCCTTTAAAATGGGGGAGTGTGTAATGAGCTCCAGGTTTAACAATCCGCCTGCAGCGCTGAAGAAAGTCTCTTGACTGCTTCTGTTGCTCATTTAAAGATTCATTTTTGGTCTTCTCAAGCACTTGGAAATCTCAAAATGCTTCGCAATTTTGGCACCACAAATGGCAGCCACGACGCTGAGCTCCACAATTCTTCTGATGTTTTTGTTTGTTTGTTCTGTATTTTGTAATTTTTCTTCTGTAAGTTTTACCAGAAACGAACTCCTTAACATTAAGCAACACATCCCAGACAATATTTTTCCGGTTTTTGATTATTCGGACGTTTTGTTGGACATTCTAGTCGGAGGTACAGTGGTGTTGTACAAACACGTACAAACGCACGTGCTGTCCTAACTTAGAGGCACTCGTCATAAACTGTAAACCTTTCTACTCGCCGCGGGAGTTTTCCTCTTTCATTCTTGTGAATGTGTACGTTCCTCCGGACGCGTGCGTGAGCGCCGCGATGCAACAGCTGGCCTAACAAATACCTGAAATGGAGCAAAGGTACCCAGACTCTATTTGAATCATTTTTGGAGATTTTAACAAATCAAATCTCTCCCGTGAACTGCCAAAATACAAGCAGCACATTACATGTCCCACCAAAGAAAGCTGTGCATCCCCACCAGGACATTCTTATAATTTAATAATGATAAACCGTGGTTTACTGGGAAATTCAAACAGCTTTGTCACGCCAAAGAGGATGCTTACAGAAGTGGGGATAACATCTTGTATAACCAGGCCAGGAATAGACTAACAAAGGATACCAGAGTGGCTAAAGAATACTCTGAAAAGCTGAGAAAACAGTTTTCAGCCAACGATCCGGTGTATGGACTGGTCTGAGGAACATCACCATGTACAAAACACCACCCCCACAGTCTGTGGAGAATCAACAACTGGCTGACGATCTGAATGTGTTTTACTGTCGATTTGAAAAGGCCAGTCTACCACCCCCCATCCGCTCTGATCTGCACTTCACACATTTACCTACCTCCCCTCCCCCCACCCTTCAACCTGCTCTTAAAGGCACAATATGTAAGATTTATTTTTATTAAAATATCCAAAAACCACTAGAACAGTGTTATATATTTTGCTGACTTGTGTAAGTACATCATCCAAAATGTTTCAAAGAATGTTTAAATCCAGAGAAATAGGCAATTTTAACTAGTGACACGGACCGTGTCCATAGTGTTGCCTGCCAATGATGT